TGTATTGTAAATTATAGACCAATTGATGTAATGTGTAAATGTACCAATTCTTACTAAATTGGACGACCATCACTTTCATAACATGAATTGTGTCAAGCGGGAATACCAAAGACATAATTTTCTATTTAAAGTAAAAATTTGAAAATAATTTGAAACACGTTTTTATTTTTATCTTTTAGTAGCGATTTCAAAATATGGAATGTTGATGTCCTGTCAGAATTTAACCCTAGTATAAATTTTATTTTCACCAAGAACCTAGAAGACATCGACGACGGCGGATCTGCTATAAACTTTCGATTTGTTCTCTAGTAGTTGGTTATTGTTCAAAGAGTATTGAAGGATTTCTTAACCACAAGGTATGTTGACGCATTTACCATTTTGTGTTGTTAAGAGATTTGTTTTCGGTTATTTGTTTCTAAATTTAACCATGACTTGTTTCTTCTTGCGACATTACATTTTCTTGAAGGGAATGATAATAGTTTTTGAGGGTTTTGTTCATCAATATGGATTTTTGCTACTAGATTTTTTCAAAGGAAGTAGTAACCTAGTTTTGTTAAATGGATTAAACCTTTCGAGTTAGTCAGCCTCGCACCACCTTAAAGGGTGGTTATGATTTTATTTATTTATTTATTTATTTTATTGTAACGTATAGACCAATTGATGTAATGTGTAAATGTACCAATTCTTACTAAATTGGAAGACCATCACTTCCATAACATGAATTTTTTTCAAGCGGGACCAAAGACAATTTTTCCGTTTAAAGTAAAATTTTGAAAATAACTTGAAACGCATTTTTATTTTTTATCTTTTAGTAGCGATTTCAAAATATAGAATGTTAATGTCTTGTCAAAATTTAATCCTAGTATAAATTTCATTTTCACCAAAAACCTAGAAGACATTGACGGCAGATCTAGTAGCATTTTGATTTGTTCTCTGGTAGTCGGTTATTCTTCGAAGAATATTGAAGGCTTTCTTAACCACTAGGTGTGTTGATGTATTTACCATTTGAGTTGTTAAGAGATTTGTTTTCGCTGATTTTTTTTTCTTAATTTAACCAAGACTTGTTTCTTCTTGAGTCATTACAATTTCATGAAGGGAATGATAATAGTTTTTGAGGGTTTTGTTCATCAATATGGATTTTTGCTACTAGATTTTTTCAAAGGAAGTAGCAACCTAGTTTTGTTAAATGGATTAAACCTTTCGAGTTAGTCAGCCCCGCTCCACCTTATAGGAGGTTTGTGCTTAGTCATTCTAAACCCGCCCTTGTTGTGGCTTATCTAGTCAAAATCCGTCAAATTATGTATCGTAGGTTCATCGTCTCACCCTGTCTTAACAACTTTAATATTGAAAATTTTATTACCCAAACTAGTTTGAATATTAGTCATTTGGCTTTGGGAAATTACCACTTGAAAGTATATAAAAGTTTGTGAAACTAAGATAAAAATTATTCTAATAAAATATATAAAACTATCATAATTAAATCGTTCTCTTGAGGTTATCTCTGTCTGGCTTCCTCTCCCTGCCTTGAGGGAGTGTTGGTTAAGTATAACCTTTGAATATATATGGCACTTGAATTTATTTTGTGTTTACTCTAAAATAGTTGCATAAACATGTTTTCGGTGACGATATTGAAGGAATATTAATTAAACTTGTTGATGTTTAAAATCATATATAAATATCTCAATATTGTTACGTTGGATTGGCATGCCTAATTGTGTTCTATTTTCTTTTCATATCTCTGTGAATATCGAAAATAATATAAAATATATGTTAAATGATAGATGTAATATGTTCAATCATGTATTTTTTTTAATTTTTTTTATGACATGGGAACCCACAGCCGCTACCCGAAAGTGCGCACTGGATAAATCCCGGGCATGTTCAATCATGTATTTGATATGATGTTTTGTGGACTTAGAGTTTTAAAAAATATTGATGTGATGTTCTGTGAAACTTTTGGATCGCGAATTGAACATGTTTGGGCTAATTTGCAAGCATGCTTAACCTTGTATTGAATATATTCAATCTTTTGAAATATCTAGGTGTTCACCGTGTGGCCATGTTGAGCCAAAATGTTGTTTCATAATCTCTTTACTATAATGAAACTAATTTTAAAAATTCATAATTTACCTATAAGAAATCATTAAACAGTGTTGAATTTAGTATTGGATATTTTCTTTCTACGGTTATATTTTTTATATTTTTTTCCGACAAGTTTTATTATTTTGTGATGATTGATCTTGCCTCGACAATAGTTTTAAAAATAGTCACGCTATATGTAATTATAATCAAATTGTTATGTGATCATATATAACAATAAAATATAATAATATAGATGTATATAAATATATAGATAAATAGGCAAATAATATGGTATGTAATATATATATATATATATGTATTTATATGGGTGTGTAATAGAATATAAATATAGATATAGATATATTATATAAGGATATATATCTGTATGAGCCGTGTGTAGGAGAGACAAAGAGAAGTGAGAAGGAAGTGTTACAGACAAAGTTGTATTTTCATTTGAATACAAAGGATAAAATTTGTAGGCTTTCAACATTGGTGATTATGTACCAACTTATATTGCTTGATATTTATTTATTTTTATTCAAAGAATGATATTTGAAATATTTATAATAATGATTAATAAAGACATCTATTTATAAATATATGTAATGAAGCATGTAATTATCATCTATATTGAGTATTGACAATAAACAATACATGACAAAGTACAATAGTAAAAAACATGCTTGATCACACTTATCATATATATGTTAGAGAGAAAATTGTAAAAAATATTCCACAAGTATACTCCATTGTAAATTTTGTCATATATTTATCTCGCCGGAAAAATATATATCTTACATGTTTGCGAAAGTCGCTATTTTTATCCTTTGGCCGTGCTTGACGTTCACACCACATGCTGTCACGCGCAATCATGCGCAGCCAAATGACAGAAATGACGATTTTTGCAAACATGTAGGATATATTTTACCAACAAAATAAATATAGAATAAAAGTGATAATGGAATATAAATGTGGGATATATTTTGCAATTTTTTTATGTTACAACACATGTCAGATTATCATCCAACCTACTTTTTATTGGCTAAAATTTTTTAATTTTTGTACTCCCGCAAGGGATGGTATGGGGTGTTGGGATGGACTCTGATTTAATTTATTTATTTATGATGATTTTATTATTCTTTAATAAATACATAAATTTTGATATAGATTGGATCTAGATTTGGGTCCAGTTCAGGTAAAATTATTAAAAATTGCAGAGGTATTTCAGGTCTATCGGATCTTATCGAATATACCTTAGTTTGGCTATGGTAGAATTGAGTTTGAATATATTCAGGTTGGATTTAGGTGCCAGTTCTATTATGAGTACGCCAGTATTAGCTTTGGTTGACTCTTGTATACATAAATAAGTGATCGCCATCTCTTTAAATTTAAATTTTGAAATAAGACGATCATAAAACACGATATCAAATTGAGACACCCCGTGTTTGAATCCCAACACCACCTGAAATTCATAAATAGTGTATGTTCACATTGCATGTCAGGGGTGTGCTTAAGCTTTTAGGTGTCTCTATATATACCAATTAAGTATTAACTCAAAAAGGTTCGTATATTTAAAGGTTCACTATCATTTAATTGTTTGGGTTTATTTTGAAGGTAAGATTTGAAGATATTATTATAGGTATTTATGACTCTTATTTTTGTCTCTACAAATCTCTCTACTATTTTTTTTTCTTTTTTTTTAAGTAATTGCTCTATACTCGTAGTTTTCCTTTATCCCAAATTTGAATCTTTTTTGGTTTAAGTTTACTATGTCTCCTTACTCCAAACTAGGTTTTTTTTGCTGCTATATTACTTGATATGATATATTCACAATAATTTTTTTATACAATGTGGGAACCCGCTACTCTTCAAATATACTTCGGATAAAACTCTGGCCGAACTTAGCTTGCAAAATTGATAGTTTCATAATACTTCCACCAACAATGATTGGTTCAAGACTTGTGCATGTATGCCCACATCAAATGAATATGAACTATTATATTGATCGTACATATTAATGCATACACGATAATTAAATAACCTCCCTAAATTCGAATCATGTGTTACTAACCAATGTACATTGTAATTCGTGAAACATACCAAACTTCATATTGCTAGATTTTATATGAGTTCCATTTTTGTTTCAGTTATTATTATTATTATTATTATTATTAGCTTGGTTTTATTGTTTGATACTATTAGTTATCAATCTTTGTAGGGTTGGATTATTGCATCCTTCACTCTCACAATGGCAACTAAAAGTAGATTGTAAGTGATTTACAATAACTAAATCTTTAAAAGTATGTTTTAATCAAATCTTCAATTGAGGATGTAATTTTATACTTCACTTATGCTTAATCATCTAGTAAAAGAAAATTGTACTAAAATTGCTTTCATTTTGAACACTAAATAAACAATTTTTGTGTAGGCATGAAGTTCACTAGATACTTAAAACAAAATAAATAAATGAAACAATTTTTTTTGACCTTTTCATGTGTTACACTTGTTCGATTTACACTTTCAAAACTACTTTGAACTAACGACAACCAAGCCGAAAGAAAACTGACAAATACTTAATAAAAATGACCACTCTTACAATGTTGAATTTATCTATTGGTATCCTTACATGACACTTCCATTTTGTAGGAATATTGAGATGACGAACAAATCGATTTTAAAAGGAAACTTTCTTCTTAATGGCGCAAGTCTGACATATATCATGCATGGGCAGGTATTTATGAGTATTCTTTTTTGTACACTGTGGAGTTGCATATGGTCACTTTAAATGCAGTCACAAATTTCCCGAAATTATCGGGTCTTTTTTTTTAATTATTGACATTTCATTACATTTATTACGGAGCAGATATTCCTTGAAGGCTGCAAAAAAAATGGTCATATCCTTTGTTCGTGCTGTGCAGAAGAGGTATTTGTTTTTATTTGATAATAATCATAATTACAATTATAATTTTTCACTGGTATCTTTACATTCATATTTGTTTTATTCCTAATGTTGATAACCTCACCATACATGAATAGATTAGTGCCACCGAGTTTGAAGAGCATGCAGGGTATGGTCATCGAAGAAAGCCGTAAGTATCTCTCTCAATTTATTATTTTTCTCATAACTCATTTCCCTATAATTTTTCTATTGCACCTCACTGTTTCGGCCTACATAACTCAATTTTTAGGCGGTAAATATGACCATTTATGTTCTTCGTACAAATAGAGCTATTCGTCAAGTATTACTTTTTCTAAGTTATAGTTCATTTTGTTCGTCTTAGCTAGAGACCACTTTTTTTTGCAGGTACACAAACATATGCACGTCAAAAAATGAATCCCTCGAGGAACTTTCTTCAAGGCTTCAAGCTGCACAGATGATAGCAGGCAGTGCTTTGTGCAGCAAATGTCATGATGGCGGAGAATTATTGCTCTGCAAAGAATGCCGGCGTAGTTTTCACACAGGTGCGTGCGTGCATGTAGCCTTATTAATTATCGCAATCAAAATATATATATATGTTGTGCTATTATAGAATAGAAATACGGAAGATTTGGAAGAAGAATGAATTATTTTTATTTTTTGTTTGATGCACCACCGAACTCACTAAGTACTTTGTTTGAACAAACAAGCACTTGAACGTGCTTTTTTTTTTTTTGCTATTCAAGCCCCAATTCGATCTTTTTATGAAACTCATTGCTAATATTTTCTCTTCTTGGTGATCTCTACAGAATGTGTCCATCTCTCCTCTACTAAAGACAACAAACAAATTTGCGAATATTGCGAAGACATGTTGAGAGAGAAAGAGGATACCACGGATGATGCTCAAGCACCCCTTCCCAAGGCTCAATCCACAGAGGTATCGACGCCGAGCAGCAGTGGTAGCGATGAACATTGCGAAGACGACATCTATAAATGCTTCATTTGCAGGTACATTTGAAAGGACAATTTATTCAAAATACATTTTACATTTAGAATGGAATGCAAATAAATAAAACAAAATGCTGAGAAAGTTTGCCGATGTATTGGTTCTTGCAGGACTAACTCTTTTTCCAAGAATATCTTCGATGACCACACAATTATGATATGCGAACAGGTATCTTTTAGGTTTAATTGAACTTATGCCGATAATTCAGAATCTATTTATTTTGTTTTAACTTTTGAAGATTTTGCATAATGCAATGTCTTTATGATTAGTTCGAAGCTCAATTTCTTCAATATTTGGAATATGTTAAATAAACCTCATTTTGAAGTTAGTATCCATTGGATTGTATAAAACTTTTTAAAATTGATAGATTTATCTATGCGCTTTCTTGTCATAGTTATTCAATCTAGCTTAGTTCAGTTTCATTGGTGAACTATCCACAAGTCGTTGTATAAGATCTTGATACTATTAATTGAAGTAAATTGATTCATTCTACTTTAGATTTATTTTAAAATTCCAAATATTGCACTAGCATGATGACAATGGCTTTGTTTTTTGGCAGTGTGAGAGAGAATTTCACGTAGGATGTTTGAGACAGGAAGAGATGGATGATTTAAGGGTTTGCTACGTTAAAACCAGGCTTCTAATTATTTTTAGTTTAATTTACTAACAAGTTTTTGATCCTTTTCTTAGTTAATGGTTTCATACAAACTGCAGGCATTGCCCGAAGATGAATGGTTCTGTTGTGCAGAATGCAAAAGGATTCATTCAACTCTTCAGAAGTTTGTCTCCAATTGTGATATGGAACTTCCCGAAACTGTTGTGGAGATTTTGAAGAAGAAAGTTAAGGGAAAAGCTTCAAAGCAGAGCCCAAATTATTCCAATATGAAGTGGAGAATCTTGAAACCTGATTCGAATTCTGAAGACAATAGGGCATGGCTTTCTACTGTCAAAACAATCTTAGAGGTGAGTATCATTAATTAGTTTGTCTTATTTAATAGAGCCTGCATTGATCTTCGATATTCTGATATTTTATATCACTCAATAGATTTCTCGTGTAGTTCAATAAATTTCTTACATCGTTGCACTATTCTCAACCAAATTCAGCACATAATTTACTCACTTTACAAGATATATATATTTTATCCATGATTTGTCTCATGTTTTTAAATATATGGCCAAAATGCTTTGTATATTCAGCACCAGTTTCCTGATCTTAAACTCTCAAAAGTCGACGTCTCCCCTGGAGAATTGCTTATTCATCCGATGGTTTTCGGGTAATGAATTGAAGTTCATAGTTTTTACATGTGTTTCTACATTTCATTACTTATCTAATCCCATATAACCCGGTGCACATAATTGTAGGGAAAAAATCGACTGGCATGACTTTTTTGGAATGCACTCGGCAGCATTAATGATCAAGTAAGAAAAAAAATAAGAAATAACTTTTCACAACTTCTACATTTTGATCTATAACGCACCGTTTATTATTTACATAGGTCGGAAATTGTGTGTGTTGCAATATTCCGAGTGTTTGGGGAGGAAGTCGCCGAGCTTCCACTAGTTGCAACCGCAAAGGGCAATAAGAAGAAGGTATCTTCGAATATTCCAATGTTGTTTGGTTATGCATTAGTACAAGTAGAGTATGTTTTACATACTACAAATCTATTCTATTTCAGGGATACGGAAGGACACTCCTCTTATGTATTGAGCATCTGTTATCGATTTTAAAAGTGAAAATTCTAATTCTTCCATCCGCCAAGTCTACTAAAGATATATGGATAAAAAAATTTGGGTTCGAGATACTCACGAAAGAACAGGTTAGTTTCTTTATAAATTGCAGTCGGATTTCTATGTTTCATTCTAATTCTTTAACCTCAATGTTGCTCTATAGCTCGAGAGATACACAGACGATTATCAGAAAATTATGCCATTCAAGGAAACAACGGTCCTTCACAAATTGATCCACAAATCGTGAACTTTGGAGCATGGCCATTGCCTGTCAGGGACCAAAAAAGTTCTCTAATGACATAGTTGTATGGTATTAGTATTGTTACATTTTGTAAAATGTCAGTGGCCTGGCCATTTTTTAAGTGGGTATACAATCAAAATTTAATTAATAATCATTACAATATAAAAAAATTACAATTGTCCCTTACGTACCATTTAAGAGAAAATTGCAAAAATATCGCACACTTATACTTTATTATCGCTTTTGTCTTGTATTTTATCTTGCATATTCCACGTGTATACAAAAGTCGTTATTTATATCATTTGCCCGCGCGTGATATTTTCACACCACGTGCGGTTACGCGCGATCAAATGATAGAAATAGCGATTTTTACAAATATATGGGATATATTTTGCCAACAAGAGTGTACGTTGTGAGATATTTTTTGCAATTTTTCCTACAATTTAATTACATTATTGTTTGTAATACTTCTATAGAGTGAAATAGAAATGAAGAGTATTCAGATTTAATTAGGAAGGAAATTAATATATTATATAATTAATTAATTTTTTTAAAAAAAATCAAAATAAATAGAAGGATCCTTGAAATAATTATACAAAAAAAAACAAAAAAAAAAATGATTGTAGAACTAATTTGCTATTAGAGTACTTGGATTGAAAGAAAATCAAATCTTTTTAATATACATACATAGAATTAAGTGAATCATGTGACCCTACTTTGACTACCACTGTTCATAGTTGTATATTTTATAAATAATAATAAAATCATGATTTATAAATACATCAAATATAATTAAATAATAACAATCTAATTTAATATAATAAAAATCTAAACTGAACTATAAATCATATATATCTCAGCCATTAGAATTGAGGTTTTCTGACTCAAATCTTACATTTCAATGCATTGATCGCTGAAGCTTTTCGAAGATTGCGGCTAACTATCTAATTTTCTGTATCATATGATATAGAAAATTAAAGTGTGTTGTCTTATAAATCTAAGATTGTATGTGTAGCAAATGAAGCTTTTCGAAGATTGCGGCTAATAAGTTACGAAACTAGAATGATGAAAAAGGAGGCAAATTGGACTACACTTTATCCTTACTTGCTACTAAACTTGTCTCAATGTTTTAACAAGAAGCATTGTGGAATCAAAATAATATTGCCAACAAAATTAATCATACGATCAAAATTGAACTTAACATGCACCCGTTTTCGATATTGATTATAGTTTTAAATTGTTTGTTTTTGTTTTTTGTCTCTCTATTTTTGTAGGCATTGACTGCTTCAGTAAAAAATGACTAGTAACAAGGTAGTAAGGCAAACGCGGGAGATTTCGAAGATTTTCAACAAAATGGAACTTTTTGAACCAATTATAATCAACCATATATAGAGAGATAAATGATAAAACATATGTTGGTACTCCCGTTTGCGGATGTATAAATAATGACTCAGTTTCCCTAACAGTTCGAGCTTTTAGGTGAGACGGGATCGCCCTAATCAAACTCAGCTCTATCAAACGGTTGTTTTAGATAAATGATTTGATGTCGATTGCACCCATTGAGGTAGCCAAACAAGATAAAATTTTCCTATCAACATCCAACATAATTTTATTAATGAAAATTAAAAATAAAATCAAAGAAAAACCACTTGATACTTCGATAAACTAAAGCGCACAAGAAATAAGCCCAAAATACAAAAAAAAAAAATGAAAATGAAAAAGAAAAAGAAAAAGAAAAAAGACAAAAAAAAAAAAAAAAAAAAGTTCCCCAAATATAGAAAATTCCATTATACTAAAATAGGATATCATTGCATAGGAGATGCAATGAGTCTAGCTTGTTGGGTAATCCATGCAAATTTCATCCAATTGCGAGGAAGCACAAGAACTAAAAAAAAAATTGCATCGTGATTCAATGGGACAAAAACTCAATCTTAATCAACTCTGTTCTAAAGGTTACACTACACTCTACTTACTTCCATGAATCGAAATCATATTCGAGAAATTTGGTGATCCATTCCAAAGTGGAAGGATTCACACTCGAGAAAATTGAAGAAATCACAGACATCAAAAGAGTATTTGTTTGATCACTACCAGCACTACTTTCTTTTCATTTCAATTTAGTCTCTTCCCTTCTCCAGTTTCCCCATCGCCTTTTCGAACTTCTGCAACTAAGAATGCTATCTTCTTGTTCAAATTGTCGGTTCAATCTGAAAATCTTGGTGAAATCAACCACCATCTGAAGTCGGTGAAGAGACAATGAATTACTCACCCGAAGAAACAAATGAGATCAAAGAGATTATGCACCCGAGGAGCTGTTGCATGTGCTGTGTTGGTTGTAGCAAATAATACTAATTTTCGAAGCCACAATGCCTGTCTTAGGAGGCACTGGGGGCATTCCGTTGAACGGTATGGTTGCCTATTCCGGGTACACATTTGTTGGGGCAAGCATGGTGTTGGCGACGAGGTTTTTTGCAAGCTCTTTGCATTGTCACTACAAAAAAAATAATATATTAACGGAATTTCGTCCCTAAAGTTCACGTAGCTAACGTAATTCCGTTCCTAATTCTGTCTCTAATGTCGTTAGTAACGGAAAAAGTAGATTTAGAGACAAAAAAGTTTTGTTAAAAAATGATTTTTTCTTGTAGTGTGTGCAGTATGAGAGCTTCCGCACGGGATTAAGAAAAATAAATATTTTATTGAAAAAGTGAGAAAAATAAAATGGTAGTTGGGTATCTTTGGAAATTTAGTTTATAATTAAAAAGAATGAAAAGAGATAATGTAATAAAATTAGTAGTATTTGTTGTAAATAAGTGTTATTAGGTAATAATTAAATCTTGACTTATTGGGTAATTAAATTTAATGGACGGGCGAAAAAAGAAAATAAAAATAAATTTGACTAATGGATGGATGGAGTATATGTATTTGTTTGATTTTCTTAGGTTTCAATATTTGATATTTTTTGAATTATCGGATCCTAAATGAGTTTGTTTATGTTATTATATTTAACTTTTATATGAATAATAATATTATATAAATTACATATTTTAAATATTTAGATTAATATATTTTTTAATTAAATGTATATGCAATTGTAGCTCGATCTGATTCTGGTTGAAATATTTGTGAATATTTTCAATTAATCCGAATTTCGCTCATTTCTTGGATGTATTTTATTATTTTCATTTTTGGTTCGAATATTTTATGTGCATTAACTACTTGACGTTTACTATATTATTGACATACAAAAATTAATTAGGTCTGTGGAGTCACTAGATCATACCTTGGATTGCACTAATATTATATAGGCTAAATTGCACAAAATCTATCCGTGTTTTATGAAATTGCGCCAAATCCCCTATATTTTTAAAACTGTGTCAAACTCCCTCGTGGTTTCATAAATTATGCGTCTAACCCCCTCGACGGTTCTTATTTAACGGTATTTGACCTAAATGCGCCAAATCAATTTTAAAATCTCTAAGTTCTAAATCCCTAAAATTATAAATATATTCATTTTAGTATAGTTATTTTTATCAAGTTTTAAGACTTTATTTTTACTATTTTTTTATACTAAATATAAGAAAAATATATATATTTATAATTTGAGAGGTTTAGAAATTAAAATTTTAAAATTTATTGGGCGCATTTAGGTCAAATATTGTTAAATAAGGACCGCCGAAGGGTTAGATGATGAAATCATAAAGGAGTTTGACGCAATTTTAAAAGTACGGAGAATTTGGCGCAATTTTGTGAAACCATGGGTGAATTTTGTGCAATTTAGCCTATTACATACTATGTGCTATAGTTGGCATCTAAAAACCTTTATTGCTAATACATCTTTTAGTGAAGAGCTAATAGTATAACCTACGCAAGATGTAGGATTGATATCCGCAATGATGCCATTGCAATGTTGCAATACAAAATTGAGTCAAATAGTGTGAATAGTATAGACAAATTGATAATAATGTGTACATGTACCAATAACTACTAAAGGTCAAGGTCATCTCTCCTATAACATGAATTTTTCGTTTAAAGTAAAATTTTGAAAATCACTTGAAACGCATTTTTAGTTTTTTAGTAAGATTTCAAAATATAGAAGATTGATGCTCGCTTAGAGTTTGACACCAAGGACCTAGGAGATATCAATGGCGGATCTATTAGCACTTTGATTTGTTCTCGTCGGTGATTCTTTAGAAAGTACTGAAGATTTTCTTAAACGCAAGGTATGTTAATGCAATTTTCCATTTGAGTTATTTTTTTCTTTTTTTTTTTTTTTTTTTGTTCGATGCACCGAACTAACTAAGTACCTTCTTTGAACAAAGAAGCACTTGAATGTGCTTTGTTTTTTTGCTATTCAACCCCAATTTCATCTTTTTAACTTATCACTATTATTATCTCTTCTTGCTTTCTCATACAAAATGTGTCCATCTCTCCACTGCTAAAGACTACAAACAAATTTGCAAATATTGCAAAGACATGTTCAGAAAGAAACAGGCTCAATCCACAGAGACATCGACGCAGAGCAGCAGTGGTAGCGATGATCATTGTGAAGACGACATATAGAAATGCTTCATTTGCAAGTAAACTCAGACAAGGCAAATCACACTATGTCATGTTTGATTGGTCAAGCAAGTATTTGGTAAATTAATTTTATTTAAAGTTTATTGATTCAAAAAGCCGTTAATTGAAGATAAATACACAAATCATCAAAAACATCAAAAACTTCCTTAATACTTCCCCATCTTTTTTTTTTTTTGTTCCCTAAAATTTCCTCTACACGTATTTATATTTTTTTAAACTCCAAAATTTCATTTTTACTCTCCTAAATAACAATAATTTACTAAATTACCAAACCTATTCAAAATCTTCAACTGCGTGATAGTCGTTTGCCCCAACGGTGTTTGTTCAACCGCAACCACCACCATCTCGCTGTCGTCCGCCCAGCGCCATCATCTGTCCACCGCCGCCGCCACCTCACTGTTGTTCACCTATCCCGCCATCCATCCATTCCGCCCACAGTGGCTCCCTGTAAAAAAAATAAGTGTTTCTAATTTAATTTCATTTTGTAGTATTATTTGCTTCTTTATTGTGTTCTATATGCTCTTATTTATTTAGTTATTTATATTGAAAATATTAAAAATATTATCACAATGTGTTTGTTTGTTTGTTTTCGATTGTATTTTCTTGTATTTAGTAATAATTTTGTGTGTTTGTTGAATAGAATAAATTGGTTTTTTATGTTAGAAGTTTTTAATTTTTTGAATACATATTTTCTTATGTTTGTAGGAAAACTATGGAGAAAGAAGATAATAATCGAAGAAAAATAGAAGAAATGGTTGTTGATGATTATCGGACAATCATTGCAAAATATATTCTGAATGCGGCAGGTCTTGTTAGTATGGCCAAATTGTGTGCACAAGTGGTGTAGCATTGTATATCTTATAAATATTTTCTTCTCGTTGATTAAATATTAAATCTAAATTGTGTGTTGTCTTCACTTGTGTTTCAATTTGATTTTAGCAATGCATAGAAAGATTATCTTGAATAATCGATAAATTTGTCACTGAATCCATTAAAAACTATTATATTACCTCTTAGAAATTACGATGTTACCATCTAAAAGATCACAAATATGTAATCTTGAAATTTACTGCGTTCAGCGGAAATACAACATGTTTCCGCTAGATGCTTTATTTCCGCTGAAAACATCAAATTTTAGCAAAAAAATACTCCCTCCGTCCCAAACAAGGTGCAACATTTACTTTTGACACGAGTTTTTAGGTGGGTAGTATTAAGTAGGATAATTTAGAAATTAAGTGATGTGATGGAGAGATAAATGTATATTTTATTTTTTTATTTGGATGATGTGAGGGGATAAAGTGTGGTGTACGGATTAAGTATGATTAATTATTTCCTATTTTGGAAATGTTGCAGGGTGTTTGGGACGGAGGGAGTATATGTTTTTGGCGGAAACAAAGCCTTTTTACACTTAAATATGTGTGCAATTGTACTTCGGTTTTATAAATAGGATCATACCACAGTCGATTTCGTATTGTAGTTTAATTTCTATATTTTATTCTAAGTCTTAATTACCTCAATGTTGTTCCACAGCTTGAGAAATACACAGACGATTATCAAAAAATTATGCCATTCGACGGCACAACAGTCCTTCACAAACACATCCACAAATCTTGAACCTTCGAGCATCACCATCGACTATATATCATGGACCAAAAAAGTTCTCTAAAGACATGGTTGTATAACATAATTAGTGTAAAGCAAATATCATCGACATTATTGGATTGACATATGGTTAATACCCGAGTAGTAGCAGGATGCATCGATGAACTTGTTGTTCGATACTGTTGATTTACATCAATCTTGTAGGGTTTAATTATTGCATTATTCATTCTTACCATAACAACTGAGAATAGATGGTGAATGGTTTAGATAACTAAATTTTTAAAAAGCATGTTTTAATTAAATCTCCTATTGTTGTTGCAATTTTATACTTCACTAATACTAATGTGTAGTCATTTAGCCAAAAGAAAATTGAACTAAATCAGCACTCAGTTTGAACACTGAACAAACATTTTTTGTATAGTCATTCAGTTCACAAGATACTTAAAAAATAAATAAATAAATAAAAATATAACTCTTTTATCTTCTCATGTTCGATCTACTCTTTCAAAATTACTTTGAACAATCAATCTCAACCTCAACCTCAAGCCCATCTTAAATGGAATGAATAATAATAATAATAATAATAATAATAATAATGACCACTCTTACTATGTCGAGGTTATCTATTGGTATTCTAACATCCCACTTTCATTTTGTAGGAATATGGAGAAGAAAAATCAAGTTTGTTCACCCACCATTTTTTTCGATATGATTTTTAATATATATTTTATACTCTCACAAAAATCAATATTCAACTTAAAATATTAATTTTTATATTTTTAACCCAATCTTTTATACTTCACATCAAAAACATTCAAATCAAAACACTAAACAAACAAACCCAATTTTCAAAAGAAAGTTTCTTCCAGCGAGTCTGACTCCATTTATCATTAAAAATAGGATAGACTGTTTTTTTAGTCCCGTAATTGGACCCTCTTATCATTTTAGTCCCGTAAATGGAGCCTGTCGCAAACTAGTCCCATAAGTGAAAAATTTTCGTTGTTTTAGTCCTCCGGCGCTGGAGACGCCCGCGTGGCTCCCCGGAGGTGACGTGTCCGCCAGATGTCGCTGACCTGGCGGACACGTGGATTTTTTTTTCATTTTTTAAAAACTTATTTTTAATTTTATTTATATTTTTTTATTTGGTCCAATTAAAAAAAATAAAATAAAATAAAATAAATCCACGTGTCCGCCAGGTGTCGCTGACCTAGCGGGACACCTGGCGGACACGTCACTTCCGGCGAGCCACGCGGGCGTCTCCGGCGCCGGAGGACTAAAACAGCGAAAATTTTTCACTTATGGGACTAGTTTGCGACAGGCTCCACTTACGGGACTAAAATGATAAAGGGTTCAATTACGGGACTAAAAAAATTTGTGTTCAAACTAAATGAGCTTATTTTTACGGATGGGGTATTATGCACAAAAAAGTATTTATGAGTGTTTTTTTGTGCATTGTATGGGAAGTTCCATACGATCACTTTAAATGCAGTTTCAAACTTCTCAAAATTATCGGATCTTCTCTTTTTAAAGCATTTTTCTTTTTCAATTATAAATTATTTTTAGCACTATCATTCAATATTAATTATAAAAAAAAAAAAGAAAAAAGAAAACTCACATCAAATATTTTTTTAAATATTCAATTATTTATTATTTCTAAAAATTTTCAAAATTTAAAAATTTTCAAAACTTAAAAATTTTCAAAACTTTTATCTAAATGGAGTTTATATTTTGTGTGCTATCATTTAAAAATCCTTTATACGGCAATGCATGAGCGGACACTGCACGATAAAGGTGCATATTTTTCGATTGTTCTTTTAAAGTAAAATTTTGAGAATCACTTGAAACACGTTTTAGTAATGATCGCAAAATATAGAAGACAAATGTCGGTTTAGAATTTAACCTTAGTATAAATTTCATTTTCACCAAGGACCTAGAAGACATCAACAATGGATCTACTAGCACTTCAATCTGTTCCCTCTGAATTTTTTAGAAAATATTGAGGGTTTTTTAAAACTCAAGGTATGTTGATGCGTTTACCATTTGAGTTGTAAAATATTACGTTATTATCGATTTGTTTCTAAAATTAGGCTACGACTTGTTTCTTCTTGCATCATTTGATTTTCTTGAATAGGATATATATAATGGTGTGAGGGTTTTGTTCTATGATTTGTACTAATCTTGCATTTTAAGTTTTAATAAGAAGCATCGAGTAGGAATCAAAATAATCGATCAAATTGCCAACCAAATTAATTTCTCCCTCCGTCCCAAATACCGTGTCTGCTACACTGTACACACGGTATTTTAGGAGGGGTGTAATTAGTAGATAATTAAGAATATATTAGTGAAAATAATTATCCTATAATATCAATAATTATAAATTGAGATTAAGATAACTAATTAGTTTAATTAAAATTAAAAAAAAATAAAAAATTTAAAATGAGATTAAAATGTGTAATCATTTTCCAAAAAAAGGAAAGTGACATGGTACGTAGGACGGACAGAAACGGCAACGTGGATATGGTATCTGGGACGGAGGGAATATATTCGACACTATCATCCCATAAAATTGAACTTAACATGCACCCATTCGGACATTGATATAGTTTTAAATCGTTTGTTTATATATTTTTATTTTTTTTTTGTCTTTTTCCTTTATCTTTATATTTTCATTGATTTCAGTTTTTTTAAAAAAAATAAATAAATAAATAAAAATTAAAAACTAACTAGGCAGTTATGCAAACGTGGGAGATTTCGAAGATTCCCAACAAAACGGAACTTTTGGAAAAACCAATCATAAATTAACGGTGTAGATTAAAAGCGCAGCCATCCAACGGACAGCCTTATTCTAGTACGACCACAAACAGACCGTTTCAACGCCACACGCATTGTCCGTACACCACGTGTCGGAAAAAACTTGAACCATCAATTAAACTTACCCTAAATACACACGTGCTTATATATATATATATATATATATATAAGAACCTCATATTTCATTTACGAACAAACAAAACACACTTCAACAAATACTTTCTAATTTTGGATCGAATATCGAAAATGGTAACTCCAGGAAATGCAAATCAATCATCCGGCGCTCCGAAAGTGAGCGGCGGCGCCGTGAATTCCACCGCCGGCGCGGAGGTGCCGCCGGCGGCGGGGGGGCAGGTCCAGAGCTCGAAGGCGGCGAGCACCGCCGCGCCGCACATCGCCGATGGGGGCCACCAGGGCACGCCGAGGACGGCGGCGGCGCAGCAGTTCAGCTCGGAGGTGCTCCACCAGCGGCGCAACATGCCGTCGTCGCCGGCGAGGCTCGCCGTCGGCGGATTCGCCGTCGTGATGGGCATCGCGTACGTCACACTCTACGCCAATAAGAACTCGGAGGCCACCGCCGTCGACGTGGCCAGAGTGACCACCGGAACCGCCACGCCGGAGAACACGCGCCACAGCCGCAAGTGAGGCTGCCGGATATTGACGAATATTTAATTAATCAATTAATTTGGTTCTTCGAATTGTTCTAGTGTTAGTTTTGGAATAAGTATGAGGATTCGTACTGTTTGATTTTTTTATTTTTTAATTTTTTTTTTCCGAATAACGGTATTTGTAGGTTCCTATATGTTTGTATTTGGAATTTTTATTCTTGTAATATACTATTCCTTCGTTCCGTTTTTATAACAAAATTATTTCTACTTTTTAAATTATCTCTGATTATTACCAGTCTTTTACATCCTACTTGGGCATTATAGTCTTCTACATTCTACTTTATACCCAAAGAAAAGAAAGGTCTTTTACATTCTACTTTAACATCTCTTCTCGGGAGGGAGTAATTATTTATAGATTTATGCAAAGATCCGTATTTTGAAAAATGCAGAGATTTTGTTCTTTTTAATTTATTTTTTTTTTCACATTTTTTCTCAAATATACTAGAATAAGTATTATATTTGTTTTGTATTTTTAATTTGAAGTTTCTTTACATTAATATAAAAATATATTAAAAAAATAATATGGATATTGAATTATTTAATTTTTGTATATCTATTGCATTTTTATAAATACTAACCGAAACTAGTGTGAAAAAATGGAATGAACAAACTCAATATATAAAATATTACTCCATTCGTCATTCAAATTTATTTTAAAATACAGAAAAGTAATTCTTATCTATTTTTTTTTAAAATCCGTATCCGATCAAATAAGCACACAATTGGATGACGGACGGGAGTACTAAAGATGAATTTATATATTTATTATAAAGAAATAAGTAATTCTAAATCACTATTGTTCAGCCTAAATAGTGGTGCAATTCTTTTACATCAGTTTAATTTTTAGTTCAGTCCTATGTTGAAATTGCATAGATAATTTTGCAATAATTGCTTGGATATGTGTTTGGCATATATTTTATATTAAAATAATAATAATAATTTAATGTAATATTTTTTAAAAAAATAATATTTCTTCCACTTTAAAATTATAAATAGGATAGATTTAGGGAATATATATTTAATACTTCTATATAGGATAAAAATTTGTGTCCAATATTTTTAATTACTAAATATTTGCAATTTAAAAATATATACTACAGTATTTTTAATTACGAAATATTTATATAGCTAAAATTTTTCTAAAAAAAATTATATTTTCATAGTAAAATGATTTTAGCAACTAAAAAAATAAGTAGAAATTAAAACTCTAAAGAATTAGTTATAATAAACAAGCACACTCTTAGTATTTTTTATTTTATAAGTTTTTTATTGTTAATTATTGAAATTATGAAAGTGTTTTGAAAATTCTAATATTGTTTTAGTAAAATTATTTTTATTATTTTTTAAATATTTTATAAGATGAATAGAGGGTGTGTAAGTATGTATTATCATTGTTATTGTTGTTGATATAATATAATTTTAGTTTTAAAATTATTTTTGAATTTTAAAAGTCACTTTTATGTTTTTTTTACATAATAATTCAAATAAATAAAAATAGTACTTCTTTAAAATAGAAGTCAAAAATATCTTTCA